GTGTGTGTGTGTGTGTGTGTGTGTGTGTGTGTGTGTGTGTGTGTGTGTGTGTGTGTGTGTGTGCAGTACTGTGCTTTAAATGTGGCTGATGGGATGATATGGTATAAAATGATCTCAGAAAGCACTTATCAAAACAGGCCACTTCCTTCTTTTGTTTCTGTCTCTTTAGTTCTCTGGAGTGGCAACCACTTGGATGGAAGGAAAATAGGACATTGTAAGTTGAAGTTAGACAACCTTCTCTTTTCGCTTTCAGATCATATTTATTCACTTTTTCCAAATGTAGATTTTATGTTGTGTTATGAGCTTTAAAGGTGTGCTGGGAAAGAGTTTTTTTTTTTCAATGTATAATCTCGAGAAATTTCAAATAAATGAAGATAAGTGACTGTGGAAAATTCCATTTTCCATATAATAGCATGCAGCGCAGTCCTGATCTACTGTGTAGCTTTTTATAGAGTGGAGTGGATTTTCATCAAATGAAATGTTGTGTAATTTTTTATACAAAATTTTGTAACTTTTGGTTATTTTTTCTTTTTACCTTTTACTTAAAAACACACATGCATTGCTTTTGAGCCGCTTAGAATGTTCGAGCCATTTGAACCAGTTTTCCCAGCATAAAGTAATGAACTAAAATATTTTGTTGCAAGACAACTCCACGCGGAAAAAGCAGAATTAAGGAACTGACTAATTGCAACTTCAGTTTTTAACATTCTTTTAGAAAATTCTGCAAAAGGACTCAGTGTCAGCCGACCATTTTAAGCTTGAAAGTATCTCATGATTCTGCTTACCCGTTAAAAATTCTGTCTGTGTGTGTTTTATAACCGCGCATCGCACCGTCCTTGCCCCGACTGTGTTGTGACAGTGTTGGCTCGTGCTCCTCGAGTGACTGAAGTCGGTGGATGCCCTTTTAGGAAGAAAAAGGTCCCCATTACTGCAGGGCTGTAGAGATAATGTAGTGTGACACGCGTTATGTACACCTGGTCCCCGTAAGACGAGCCTCAGGGACAGAGGTGCCATAAGAGCTATTAATCTGTCCTTGTCATGTGTTATTGCAAATTAAAAGTAGCATGTTACACCGGATGGGGATGGGAGGAGGAAAACGAGCGACTCTGAAGCTGTGGAATAAAAACACAGGATGAAGCAGCCTCGACTAGGACTGAGCAAGGGTTATTTTTAGGAGTTGTGAAGGTGTTTTATACTCACCTGTGTTTGGAAACACTTTATTTTGTGTGTGTGCCGCTTCAGATCCTCTTCTTACACAGAGAGCGTAGTGACATTTAAAAAGAATTTACAATTCTGCAGAGAAAAGCTATTAATTCACAAATGAACACCCCCCCCCCCTCTATCATGGATGTGCAAGCTACTGAAAAGACAAAAGAAATAGCCTTAAGGGGGAAAAAAGAGAGAGTCTCAGTTCTATCTGTGGAGAGATTGGTTTGCATGTCTGCAAGCAGAGATACCAATTAGGCCAGTGCTGGGAGAATGCGTCTCAATGCGCCGCTCTGCCTCCTCCTCCTCCCACCATCATCACCACACACAGCAGCACCACCCCACTCTGAATCCATCCAGAGCCAGATTTATTTGCGTATCTCATTACAGGGAATGGAATGTTGTTCCTGCCAAATGCATTAATAGTAAAGTGGGGAAATTAGCCTGTTGTACAGCGTGTTTTCGCTCACTCGTTTGAACCTATAGCGGAAGACGAAGCCAAAGACAAGTCAGGTTGGGTGAAGGTGCTGAGTGTAAAATGTGCGTTTGATTGCGAAACAGCTAATTCACCAAAGATAATTTTAGTCTAATTCGCTGTTGTAATTTGTGCAATTGCAAAATACAACCACAAAACGGTCTTTTTTAGGGTCACAGCCTAATGAAAATTCAGTGTTTTCCTTGTCTTAGCACACAGTGACAGGTTACCCCTGACACTGCTGCTGTTCGCAGTCAGGTTGATGTGACCTGACGGTATATTTCTCTCTCGTTGCTGGCTTACCACGTCCTGGACGGAGCCCAGAGGAGCTCCGGGGAGGACAGGCAGCCGGGAGCTACAGTGATAAATTAGATGAAGAAAGCAAAGGTCATAAGTTGTGATTGTAGCGTGGGTGTGAGATGAGTGTAGAAGGAGCTGATGAGTGTGTGAGAGTTGAGAGAGAAATATGGCCTCGCAGGCTGTTCATTCATGACACAAAAGAACGATCATGGGCTGCAGCTGGAATCAAATCAACCTCGCTTGATAGCTCAAGAAAAAAAATTGTCCCTGTTTTGATTTGTTCACATTTGATATTTGCCCCCTTTGAAGATTCCAGAGTAGATCTTTTAACACCTCTGACCCATTTGCAGAGTTTAAATGTGTTAGTGTATGGATTTGAACCTGGGCCTATACTCTGGTTGACTAGTCAAGCCGTTCCATGACAATGAGTCAAAAGAGGATCAGTTTTAGAAAATAAATGCATCCAGAGTGAGACAGAAAAAAGAGGAATCATGAGCAGGATAATGGCCCTGATGGGCTGTGTGTGAGAGAGAAAAGCCCAGGTTTGAGAGGGGCCACAGAGCGTAACATAGAGACAAGAAGCTGTTAGGGTCCTGACAGAGGAGGAAGCACAAAAGGGGTCCTCGCCGTTCTCCTCCCCCTTCTCTCCTCAACGTTTTATTTCTCCTCGTATTGTCCCCGTCTTCCTCCAAGAGCCTCATGCTTTGAACATTTGCACTGAGACCACAGGTAACAGTTGTAAACAATGAGATCGGTCACAAAAATATATAAAGAGGGAGATCGCTCTGTGGAGAGGAATCATGTCAGAGAAAAGTCAATTATGGGTAGCAATGGTGAGAATTAATGGAGCGACGCGTTACTCAGCTTGAGGAGGAGGGAAAAACGGCACAAGAAAAGTAGGGATTTGTTAATTGCATTTCCAGAAATACTTGCCACACAGGGTGGCCATGTTAAACAGCAGGCTGATCCCAGAGAAGAGAGAATCAGAGATAAAACTGGAGTTTAGATTAAAATGGAGGAATGTATAAAATCTGTTTTGAAAATGAAATGCTAACTGATATGATTGAAAACTAAAAAAATCAATGTTGACATTAGTCTCACAGGCATACACCTATATTCCGTTAAAAATGTTTACATTTTTGCAGAGTGGACACTTTGTGGTAACCAGGAATCAAGCTATAACCTCACGTTTACAAGCCAACATGCTGAGAGGTCTAACCATTTTTTTAAATATTGGATTGGTGTGCTTCTTTTTCTTAATGACAAACTTTCTGCTTTGGTCTCATAACATAAAGCGAGATAAATAAAACACTATCGACACCAACCCAAAGCTGCCAGTGAGAGCAAATTTCAAATAAGCATCACTCTGCCTGCTGACAGTCAGTACATTGGTTGGTGGTGCTAAATCGAATTAATAAAGCTCTTAAACACGCCACAACATAACAGGATCTTAACAGCCATGGCAGTGTTGCTGCCTCTCTTTCCTCCTTCCCCCCCCACCCCGCCCAGCTCGCTCTCCTTTCCGCTTCAGAGGTTTCATAAATATAGCTAGCTTACAGGGAAGGAGTGTTCACCCTCTGGATATACCCGTTTGTTTGTGCTTTTTCTTCTTTTTTTTCCTGAGCTCAACAGCATTTTAAAAATCATCAACAAATGATCCACATTTTTTTTAGATTGAGCATCATTCCCACCTCTCAGTGTAGGACCGATCCGGGATCAGTTTAACTCGCAGCCTCTGATCTAGGAAACCCCACATGTCATTGATTTATGGAGGGAGCCAGGCAGTGTGTAGGAATTCATTTGCCTTTCAAACAAGCCTCCTCCTCTGGTCTCCTCTTGAGTTATCTTATCACTGGAACAGCAAAGATGAAAGAGGGACATTTAGTACCACTGTGCCACACCGGGACACTAACATCCCCCTTAGAGACAAGGGAAAATATAAACACTTTTGATGCCTTTGCGTTTGTAACGGCTACTGTGATTGGTTAAGTGTGTGAGTGTTTTTACGTGTTGCGTGCACAGAAATTAGCCCGACGAAACTTTAAAAAAGGGTTTGATTCTTGCTTATGTTTGTTTTGAAGAAGCTGGATCTGAAACATTTGAATAAGGCCACGTTATCGTTTCAATTTGGCACCAAGTAAGGTCAAACAGTTCAAGTGGATCAAAAGGAGTGCGTTCCAGATATGGCACGTGCGAGAGCCATCCTGTGAGACGTTTGTTTTTATCTTCTCACACACTGGTGTTAAAACAAAGAGATGCCGTGAGCTGGTGCTCTGGGAGTGATAAGAGAATACCTGCTGAGACACCCGAAGGGGCTGGAGAAACACTCACACACTCACAATCTGACAGTCGGGCTTCACACTCCACTTGACGCGCTGACTGTCAAAGAATGAATCTGATTTATCGTTGCTACCTTACGATATATGTCAAACATAAACCCTTTAATGGCACATTTTGAAAGTTACGAATCAAAGTTTATATCTTAACTTAAAGAAGATTTATTTTTTTTATAATTTAGCCACATGAATTTGGGAGTGACCAGATAATTTGCAGCTTCCAAAATTGGCTTTAGTTAGTATACTGTATATTTAGATGACAGGAAGTGCACCAAAATGTATCTTGTGATGGGAATCTGTGTTTTCTGCTGCTAGGTCAGAGGGCTTGATTAAGTGCATGAGAGGAGGATAAGCATGCACCTCTGTAGTGAATGACAAACACTTGCTATTGATCAAGCTTGCCTATTTTAGCCGACCAGCTCATACGAGGTAATTAATGAATCCATTTTCTCCTCTGTACCACAGACAACAATTGAGTTTTGTACAGGAACACCCCTGCACCACATCCCAGGAGAATTGTTTAGAAGGAAGGAAAAAAGAAAAAAGAAAAACGCTAAAATATTCTGTTAACTCATGGTAGGAAAAACACATCTAGCGGGAACAAATAAGATTCCTTTAAAAAAAAAGAAAAAAGCCACACAAAGATAAAGCTGCCCTCCCATCGACACGTACATTCAACTCATACCCAATTGCCATCTTCTATCCCATCCTCTCAATGGATCTATTTCTTGGTGCGAATCGGGTTCATCCTCTGGCCTCAGCCATTGAAAAAAGGTCAAGCAGCCGAGCAGAATGGCAATATCGCCCCTGAAATGGTACCATCAGTGGAACATGATTGATCAATTGAATTCCATAGCACAGAAAAATGTGGGATTAAGTAGAGTATTATACGCACAATGAGTTGAGGCATGATGTTCATTCCAAGTTCATTTCGCCTCCCTCCTCTGCGAGCGGTTCAGGCAATCAATAGCGGCCTTGCATATCATATATCACCGCTGCCTCGCCCAGGAGAGAACATAATCTGCTGCAAATTTAGAATGACAGATTTGTACGGGAGCTAAAGCCCTCATCCGCTGTTGGTGGTGCAGTGTAGGGAGGGAAGGGAGGGCGGTGGGAGGCAGCCAGTGGAGTGGAGGTTCCTGGACTGCTGGCTGCAGGTTTTAACTCTACGTTTTTTTTTTTTTTTTCGTGCACAGGACATGATGAGTGAGCAAAGAGAGGAATGCGGTGGTGGTGCTGGACTACCCACTGGAGTTGATAGGGTCAGAGATCAGAGGAACGAGGAAAGCTCATTTGTTTATATAGTGTGTGACCAAGTGAGGAAATGCATACGCTTGCCCTCAACGCCCCATCCTCATTCGGTCCTGAGTACTGTCCCTGTTCTATTCTGCTTTCTAAAGGACATGCTATTTGTGGGGGATGGAAAGACAGAGAGAGAGAGAGAGAGGAAAAAGACAGAGAGAGGGAAGGGTAATACGTTCAGAAGGAAATAGTTCAGTTAAATAATGGCTCTCCATTTCCCACGGGCAGAATGAGAGGCTCTGGATGTAATCGCCAGTCCTGCTTTCTCCTCCTGAAACACACGCTCCCCCTTACAAGTATATACAGTTGTGGTCAAAAGTTTACATACACTTGTAAAGAAACATAATGTTATGGCTGTCTTGAGTTTTCAATAAGTTCTACAACTCTTATTTTTCTGTGATAGAGTGATCGGAACACATACATGTTTGTCACAAAAAACAGTCATAAAATTTGGTTCTTTCATAAATTTATTATGGGTCTGCTGAAAATGTGGTCAAAAATATACATACAGCAACATTAGTATTTGGTTACATGTCCCTTGGCCATTTTCACGGCAACTAGGCACTTTTGGTAGCCATCCACAAGCTCCTGGCAAGCTTCAGGTCGAATGTTTGACCAYTCTTYTTGACAGAATTGGTGCAGTTCAGCTAAATGTGATGGTTTTCTTRCATGAACCTGTTTCTTTAGCACTGTCCACATGTTCTCAATGGGGTTTAAGTCAGGACTTTGGGAAGGCCATTCTAAAACCTTAATTCTAGCCTGGTTTAGCCATTCCTTTACCACTTTTGATGTGTGTTTTGGGTCATTGTCTTGTTGGAACACCCAACTGCGCCCAAGACCCAACCTTCGGGCTGATGGTTTTAAGTTTTCCTGCAGAATTAGGAGGTAATCCTCCTTCTTCATTATCCCATTTACTTTCTGCAAAGAACCAGTTCCACTGGCAGCAAAACATCCCCAGAGCATAATACTACCACCACCATGCTTGACAGTAGGAATGGTGTTCCTGGGATTAAAGGCCTCACCTTTTCTCCTCCAAACATATTGCTGGGTGTTGTGGCCAAACAGCTCAATTTTTGTTTCGTCTGACCAGAGAACTTTCCTCCAGAAGGTTTTATCTTTGTCCATGTGATCAGCAGCAAACTTCAGCCGAGTCTTAAGGTGCCTTTTCTGGAGCAAGGGCTTCTTTCTTGCACGGCAGCCTCTCAGTCCATGGCGATGTAAAACACGCTTGACTGTGGAGACTAACACCTGTGTTCCATCAGCTTCCAAATCCTTGCAGACCTGCTTCTTGGTGATTCTTGGTTGACTCTTGACCATCCTGACCAATCTCCTCTCGGCAGCATGTGATAGCTTGCGTTTTCTTCCTGATCGTGGCAGTGACACAACTGTTCCATGCACTTTATACTTGCGTATAATTGTCTGCACAGTTGCTCTTGGGACCTGTAGCTGCTTTGAAATGGCTCCAAGTGACTTCCCTGACTTGTTCAAGTCAATAATTCGCTTTTTCAGATCCACACTGAGTTCCTTTGACTTTCCCATTGTAGCTTTTGTAGCTGACTCTAATCACTGGGTCAAATGAGCCCTATTTAAATGGGCTCATGAGAAGTCAACAGCTGTAGTCAATCAGAATCACTTACAAGAAGTGAAGAGGCCATGACATGAAGCTAATTTGATTGACACAACTCGCTACATCACCAAAATTGACAAATTTTGTTGCTGTATGTATATTTTTGACCCAGCAGATTTGGTGACATTTTCAGCAGACCCATAATAAATTTATGAAAGAACCAAATTTTATGACTGTTTTTTGTGACAAACATGTACAGTATGTGTTCCGATCACTCTATCACAGAAAAATAAGAGTTGTAGAACTTATTGAAAACTCAAGACAGCCATAACATTATGTTTCTTTACAAGTGTATGTAAACTTTTGACCACAACTGTATTTGCACTGAAGGTAATCCATCAATTACCATAAACCTATCACATGATGACCATGCTGATGGGGGCTGCATGGAGTAGGGTGAGTGTGTGAGTGTGTACACGTAAGTGTGTGTGACCAAAAGTCAGTGACTCAGATGGCTTTATGCTATCACACTACTATAGATCTAAAAAAAAAAAACCTCTTACCTCTCTTATTTTACCCTGCTACGATGATGTCATGTGAAAAGTTGTGCCCTGATGTAAATTGTCCTTCTTTTTACCTCTTGTTTCTCCAGATGGCTCTGATGGCTCGGGCCCGGGTAGCGACTCTCAGGGCAGTGTGGAGAGTTTAAGGAAGCACCTGCGGGCAGACGCCTTCACCCAGCAACAACTGGAGGCCCTGGACCGGGTGTTTGAAAGGCCTTCTTACCCTGATGTCTTCCCCACATCAGAACACATTAAACCCGAACAGGTTCGACACCAAAATTTATCCAAGTGAAATTTTCAGTTTGAAATTTAGTCTGCATTTGAGAGATGTTCTTGTTATCATGTATTGCTTGCTTTTACTGTGCTGGGACCTAAGTACATGTTTCCTTATATCGTGTGAAAACTTGAATTGGATCTCGCCACCTAATGTGTTGCCTCTTAGGCTGCGTTCACACTGCAGGCAAATCTGACCCAAGTCCGATTTTTTTGACCCATCTGACTCATATCAATTTTTTTATGACAGTCTGAACGAGACAAATCTGATTTTTTCAAATCCGACCCAGGCCGTTTCAGTATGTGGTTTTAAATCGGATACATATCTGATGTTTTCAAAGTGACTGCAGTGTGAACGCTCATGTCACATTCATCTGACTTTTTCAGCAGGAGGAGAGGCTGAAGGATCGATAAGACACTGACCTCAAGTCTCGCTGTTTAAATCTGTAGCTCCGTGTGTTTACAGCTCCAAAACACAAGTCCAGTTGCTTCATCTTTTTACTTTTCATTTTCCACGTAGATAGTATGATAATAACTATGTCCAGCCTGGGTCGCGGAGAGTATCGATCCTAAGGTTAGCTACTCGGTCTATACTTTTTTCCAGCTCGTAGTTTCGTTTAAAAAAAAAAGCTTCACTGGAGCATCCCGGTCAGAGGCAGGTTCAGATATAAACACTGAACTAAAGAATCCTGTCAGATAATTATTTAATCGGCTCTGATTAAACAACAATTTCCGATTCGATGTGCAAAATGTAGCATCCATGCTAGCTCTGTAAACAAACAAGCCGGCTGATGAGACGTCACGTCTTTTACTGCGCATGCGTGTCACATCAGTGCTGTGTAGCGTTCACACAGGGGTCTGATGCAGGTCACATTTAAAATGTAATGTGAACATTCACACAAAAAGATCGGATTTTTTCAAAAAATCGGAACTGAGCATTAAGACCTGCAGTGTGAACGTAGCCTTAGTTTCTGTTTCTGTCATGCTGTATTATTAGCATTCATGCTACTTCTATTTTACTTCTTTTCCTCCACTTCTCTGCAAATTTGCTCATCTTCCTCATTTTCGTAAAAATCTTTGTCGTCTTCCTCTACTAGCTCGAGAATTCACCAACAACAATTTTCCGCAAAACGTTGCCATTATTGTCCCAGAAGTTTCACAACAAAATGAAAATATTAGCATTTTTGACACAAGGCCGCCCATCAAAATAAAAGCCGTAATACGTGATCATCTAGTACAGTGACTTATCATGTAGTGGTTCTGCCTAACTCTAATGTGAATTGTCAGTAACCCTTTGGCTCTTTTTAGAAGCAACATTCTGTAACTAAATATTATTTGTAACTCCGAATCAAGACGTGCTGGTGTTGGTCCTCAACCATGCAGGGCATGGTAATCCTAAAAAACTGAATCAAACACAAATGGATCCATTTTTTGATAGTTTAATATGTTTGATTCTGCTCAATTAACTTTCTTACTTGGTTATAAAAATATATTTAAAGCATTTAAAAATATGTCTTTATGGTCTAAAATTACATCAAAAACAACGGTTTGCTTCTAAATGCATTTTCTTGCATTTCTGTCTGGATGCAAATCATGCCTAATTTCTTATAACAGGGAATTTTTTTTCATCTTGCCTTTTTTTCCAATTTAACAAACATCTACAGTATGTAGACACCTGATCTCAGTTTGAACATCGTTTTCTTCAGTTTGGCACAATATTGCTTGTAATGCTGTTCAAGGGCATAATCACCATCTCAGAAGTGAGGGGGACAAATTTTTCAGAGATCTGTTTAGTAATTTCTCATCCTCTCTCAATCACATTTGTCCTTGGTGGCTAAAAACAAATAACAGCCACTGTACAGCACCAGGGGACACACTTTAGTTATTTAAATGATATACTATCAAAATCTAAAGAATTAGCTTCTAAATTCTGGTTGACTTGACACATTTACGTCCTGATGCATCTCAGTAATCCAGGTAGAAAAAATCAAAAAGAAAAAATAAGTAGGTCCTCTGGCTGGGTTCTTCTTTAGTGAAACGTTTCGTCTCTCCTCCAAGAGACTTCTTCATTCTGATGAGTTTCAGGTGAACTCAGCTGCTGTTGCCATATTTCCAGTTGAGATATATTTGGTTACTGGTTATACAATATCAGACTCTAAATGTGTTAGTTTTTTATCGAAATATGAGAAGGATACATTCCAAGACTACATTTTTGTTGGTCAAAAACAAAGTTATATATATTTTTCATGAAAATCACCCTAACATAGCCCACAAGTCTACTACCTATTATAGAGGATAAGCTTTATTTACATTCAGCAGACTGTTAAACAACAAGAGACTATTAATTTTTCCATTGGAACTCTGTGTGGGTGCCCATGCAGCCTTAGCAGTGCCCTAATTGAGTTCATTTTCATCTCTTCGCGATCGTGGGGAATTACAGCGGCGATAAATCAGAGGGACAGCCCCTCAGCCTGCTTTACAGCCCCTAATGCAGCTAATTACCAAAGTGATTTCTACGGCAAGATCAATACCAAAACGAATTGGAAATGACTTGCAATCACAAAGACTGGAGGAGAAGGTATTAAAAAGGCGAGCGGGGGCTGGAGCAAGGGGGAGAAAAATGGCGTCGGAATGGTCCAGAAAAATCAGTTTTAATTTAACGTAATATTAATCAGACTGCTTTCCACTTTTTTTCCATGCACCTCCTTTTCTCTGCCTGTTTCCAACACCCCCTCCTTTTCTTAAACTGGTGAAAAGGTGGGATATTAGGCTATTAGAGGCTTGTCTGGTGTCTGCGTCAGGGCATTAAAAAGCCATTTTGAAGAGGCCAGGCTGAATAGGCCTCATCCCTCCCACACTTCTGGCAGCCATGTGGTCAGGTCATTCAGGCCCCCTCTGTGCTTGCCACTCGCCCTCCGCCCAGCCCTGCCCAGCCCTACCCACATCCCATCTGCATGACAAAATGGCTCTTGTGCTGCTGAGGCCCAACGGAATAGAGAGGAACATCCAGCCCAGTGCCAGGGAACAGTTGTAAGGAGACAATTAGAGTTTATCTGGGATAGAGGCAGACAAGCCTGGGGTCACCAGCTCGCCCCTGTGGGACCCCCGACCCATTGAGACAAACAGATGCACACACGCATTCTGACACGAACGCTCGCATACACAAATGTGTGCGCAAACACTTATCCTTTCAAAGAAGGGCTGGGTCAGGAAATGTCATCTCATTAACAAATAGGATTTATCACAACTGCAAACAGACTCTTATTCAGAGATTAAGTTGAGTAAATCAGAAGAGATCGTATCCTAAAAGAGTTTTCCGTGAACGTCAAAAGTGCAAAATGTAAAAGATGACTGAGAAAAACATTCAACATTGCAAAGTTAAATACAAATAATACATTTTATTTTAGCTCATAGAGCAAAACACAAAGGTTGATTTTGAGGTTGCACTCCCCTTTTTCTTAAAAAAATGAAAATGGAAGGAAAAAAACACCACATGTCTCCCCTGTAACAAAGCCCTGAATGTCTCCTCCCTTGACTGGTCACAGGGATGACTGCAGTGGAGCACAAAGAGCCAGCTGACACCCTGTCCTTTCACTCCTCTCCCAGTTCCTCTCTCATCCATCTCTCCCGCTCTGCCTTCTTCTCAGACAAGCCCTAATGCATGCATACATCATCACAGGTCGTAGTAAAGCATAGGGAGCAGAGACGGGGGGTGACGTTTACAGAAATATTTCACTGGAAACATGGCGAGAGGACGGCAGATATCCCAAAGGTGTCAGTCAATCTTTTTTTTTTATAGACTGTCACCTAAATTGGGGGAAATCTGCTGTGAATCTGTCATTTAAAAAGAGCTTGTGGACAGTTCATGAGTGATATTAACCAGATTGTGACCCGATCTTTGGTAGAATGTGATATTAAATAAAGGCAACTGCTTTTTTTTCTCTTTGAGTGCCACCTGCTTATGTGTGTGCGTTTGTCTACAGGCGAACGAGTACTCTCTCCCATCACTGAATACCGGCCTGGAAGACGTGAAGCCGAGCCTCTCCACCAGTGCCAGCTCGGACCTCGCTTCCAGTGTCCCACAGAGCTACTCTGTTGTGACAGGTACAATCTGATTCACGCTACATTGATTCCTGAAAGAATGCATGCAGGTGCAGCATTGAAAGACATCCGAAAAACCAAGGTGGTCAATCCTGAGAAACGTATAGCAGAACAATGTCTTCTGTGTCCTATCGGCTTCTTAAAAAACCTTCTCTGTCTCCTTTCACCGGACTAATTCAACTGTTTTATAAAGTTACATAAAAAGACTGAAAAATACAGAACTGAATACAAAATCTTACATTTATTAGGCAGAAATAAATTAACTGAGTTATGTCAGAGATGTGGTGATCTTTAACATGTTTATTATTTACTCTAAAATGAGTCTGAGTTCAAACTGAAGGCCATGGTGTGATCTGATAGGCTTCCTGTCCAAGATCTCAACTTTATGATAGTTTAGGACAGGGCTGTAAAACTCCTTTTCACTGAGGGTCACATGAGCGTTGTGGTGGCTCTCAAAGAGCCAGCTCAGAAAAACATTGATAAATGTTTTGTGTTTAACTTCCACTAAACATAAAAGGCGCCATGCTCCTCGTCTCTTTGCTCCGGCTGAGCACTGCTAACAAACAGTAACTGTTACGCTGTTAAGGTTGAGCTCTGATAAATTGCCGGACCACAGAGAAAGATTTAACCATTTATTAAACACAAACTGGATATTTCTTTGGTTAGTAGGTAGATCCGGGTCAGTCAGTTCTAGACACAGAGAAACAGGATTAGTGGCTGGACAGAGCTGGTAATAATTATTGAAATTAACCGAAGCCACTAACCTGTTCTCCGCTGAATGAGTCCGTGAAGCAACTGAGACGAAGGCGCTTTGGTTCTGGAGCGGGGCGATGACG